GTCTGCCAAGTCAAGTGCGGCACAGGGTACGTCGTGTCTTCAGCAAGTTTGTAATAATTCATGTAGTAGTTATCTGGCACGACTGTACTTCTTCTCCAGATAATTTCGGCCACGCGGCATCAATATCAAAAGTATGTCATATTCCCCTGAGGCGAACGGAGAAGTGGGGAGAGATGAGGTTGGTAGGATGGAGCGCTCGCATCTGCCATCCGCGCTGCTCGAGAGCTCTAGCGCACGTCGGCGCGAGCTCTATCACTAGAGCGCGGTTGGGACACGAATTTGGTTCCCGGGCCAGCAGAGCCGAGGTTCGACCGCGGCTCAGCCTCCTGGCTGGAGGGGGCACCGGCCGGCGTCGCGTCCTCCGTCCGTCTCCGCATCCGTCTCGTCGGCGTGGGCGCGCAGCTGGGCGCTTCGGTCCGGCGCGCAGCCTGCGACTTGCACGGCCCTCTCGAAATCGTCGATGACCAACGCGAGGTGTCCGCTCGGAGCCTTCGGCAGCGGGGCGCGAACGACCCGCGCGGGCCACTGGATCAGGATGTCGCCGCCGCCAGGCAAGATCAGCTCGCGTTGGCCCACGCCCAAGACCGCGCGCATGGACGCCATGCTTCGTGGGCCGAGCAGGCCGGGCAGGTCGCTGCCTGACGCTCTGACAACAGGTGCTGCAATGACGGGAAGGGGGGGGGGGCTCACCTGATATTTTGCGCGCTTGGGCCCCGTTGTCAACGCCTTCGATGCTGGGAGGCTCGCTCATGAGGAGCTGCTGCGGCCAGCGTCCTGCCTCGACGCCGCTGTTGTGCAGCTGGAACGCGAGCTTCTAGGTCGATCCACGCACCTGGTTCTCTCCGACGACATTGAACTCACCAGAGGGGAGCTGCGCGTGACTGCGACGCACCTGAGTGCGCACCCGTGCGCTGGGTCAGTGGCTGACCACCAGGATAGCACATCGGCTTGACCACCTTGCGGCGAGCCTTGAGGCGGCGGCTGTCCCCAGGCTGATGCAGGAGCGCTGCAGGTGATCTTGCCGATCGGCGCGCCTTGTGGCGCGACTCAGGGCCCCGCGGGCCTGGACGCACTAGACTGGGACACCCAACGCTCTTCGAAACCATTTTGCCCAGACGGCCGAGCGAAACCAAAAACTGCACTGCAACACTTCCGGAATAAACCCAGACACAGGACCTCGAAGCATACAAAACACACCCTCCACCCGATCGAAGACCCGAACCCTGCAGGGCAACAAGAAAAACCTGCACTGGGCGACCAAATCTAAATTTGCAGGAAAGGGCGTCGCCCCCCGACTTGCCCATGTCACGGTTCGTCTGCGCCCTGGCCCCCTGGGGCCCACATGGCCTAGACACCACCGGCGCCGGGGGGCGCGGCCTCACCGGACGCTTCGCGGGGCGAAGTGGCGACCTGGATGCGCACGACCTCGAGCGCTACCAGATGTTGCCTACATGTTGGGCATGGTGGGAATGGTGCTCGGGCCTGGTCGCAACGGCGCGCTTCTTCTACGGCTCGCATCTGGCCGTTTTCGTAGCCGGCGGCGGCCCTGGCGCCTGCGCAGCCCCGATGGGGGCGACGGCCACGCTGAAGTACAACAGCAATATCAAATATGACGTCGTGGTCCGAACAGGTGCCGCACATCTCGTCGGCGTCGACTTCATCTCCACTGAAATCTGAATCTGGGCGTAGATCCGACTGTAGTGGTATTGGTGACGGTCGGGGATCCAGCCATGACCACGTTGATCATCTGTCGGGCACGCTCACGGCGGCGCGCGCGCCGCTGTTCCATCCGAGCGTCGCGGTCGGCCTCCCAATCTGGCAATGGAAGACAGCTGGATTGAGATCTCAGGAGCCATGTCGCGCACGACGTTGGTCCTGATGGCCACGGTCGGCATTTTCAGCTAGGTGCTCATATCTGCAGCGCTGTCTGTCTGACAGGGCAGCACGCGCTTGCCGGCCGTCGTTGGCGCGCGAGCTGGCCGAAACACTTGCGTGAGGGATGGTGATGCGCTGGTCATCAGGAACCGCGAGTTGGCCTGTTGGAAGGATGGTAGCACCGGCGCTGCAAGGTTGGTCGATAAGGTTCATCTCGCGGGGGCCCCATAGGGCTGCAGTCCTCCGCGGAACGTTGCTGGAGGGGCGAGCTCAGTCGGAAGCTGCCGCCGGCTCCGCGGCGGCAGTGGCCGCCAGGGAACGGCGCCAACGCTGGGAGATGGGGCGGCCCCGATGTCGGCGTTGCCACGTTGAGCATCTGCGGTGGCGGTCGGACGACTAGCGCGTCGGTGCACCCGTGGCTCTGGACCGTGGCGAGCGAGGCCGCTGACCACGAACCGCGCACTGCTCCGGCATCTGCCAGGAGCCGTCGGCGGAAGGCTGCGCTGTCGTAGCGTTGCGGTCTGGCCGCGGCCGAGGTGGACCCTTGGTGACCACGATGGCAATTCCCGAGATCCTGGAGTCCATGGCGCCGTCTATGGGTCGGGAGTCTGCGGCGCAACCTTCGAACTGTCCGCCGCTGCCGCTGCCCAGCGGTGACGACGCGGAGTCTGGCGGGCACTCAGCACGGCGGCGGCGCCCGCTCCCGCAGACGCCGCGCGTCATGACGGCCCCGTCATAGCCTCGCGGACTGCGGCGTCTGCCTTTTCCATTGCCCGACGAGAGATTGCCCTTGCCTTGCCCATCCACCGAAAAACCTGACCTACCAAGGTATCTGAGAGCTCCATGAGACACGCGAGCCCCTGATAACCGTTGCCTTTGCCTTTGCCTTTTCTGGAGACGATGCCGCTGGTCTTCTTGATGAATATACGCCCCTCACAAGTAGGGCGTTGCACGCGTCTGCACCACTGTCGTTTAGCAATATTCATGCGCTAGAGCAGCTGAGCATATACCTGGGCTGGGCTGAGACCATGGAGCTCGGGCGCCCGGCAGTTGACCTCTCCACCTGGGTCCGAGCTTGCGTCGGAGGAGGCCCCGCCGCCGCAGTCGGCCCCGCGCGCGGGCGCCCATGCGGCGGCAAGGCGCGCTGCCTGCGGCGGCGCGGCGCTCCGCGACGGGCCTGTCGCGCACGTCAGGGCACACCCTGTTCACCCCTGTTCCAGGAAGCTCGGCGGCGCCGGCAGCCCAGGGGTCGAGATCTTGAGTGCGCCAGGGGCCATGTGCATCGTTACCGTTGTCATTGGTCATGCCCGCGACTCCTCCGAACGATGGCGCTGGCGACGTTGTCAGGTGCATGCTTCACGATGTAACCCACACGCCTAAGCATAGTTGTGAGACTGTTGAACTCGGCCGCAGTGCCTGGGCATCGGCTGCCGCATGGCTAGAGCAGCATCATGAGTTAACTAGCTGCAACACCGACCGCTCGGCGGAGCAGCCAGCTGTGGCCGCCCCACAACATCGCAACTGCACCGTTGCGCGTAGCTCGGAATCGCAGCGCGAGAAAACGCGAGAGCAGCGCGTCGGTGGTTTCGCTGCGTCGCCTCGAGGACACGAAGAGTTCGCGGTTTGCTTGAAAGCGCGGCTCCTCGCCCAGTGGGCCGAACTGCGTGGCGAGGTTCGCGACCAGGTAGGCCACGGAATCCTCTAGCTGGCCGTTCACCATGCCTCCCTCCGCAATATCCGCGAAGCTGTTGGGGCGCGCGAGCTCGCGAGCAGCCCCATCGAGGTTGAGGATGACGGCAGCGCATTGTTTGAGCGCCGTCCATGTCGGTGGGTAGCACGCGGCAAGCGAGCAAGTCCTGTACCCGATGGCGGAAGCGACACACGGACTCGCGCTCGGGTGACCATGAGGGCGGCTGGCGGGATGTGATGGCACCGCGGCCGCCGCCGCCCTGTGGGCTGGCTCCACCAGGCGTCCTGCCTGTGAGCCAGAACAGGACGGCCACGAAGAACACAAGGATGCTGCCCCAGAACATCAAGATGGCGATCCTCATCGATAAGACCTCACTGCGATGATGGCTGCGTAGGCGCCTTGGGACTCGGGCCTGCGCATGGACGAACGCCACATCGAAGTGCGGGGTAGCCATGATGATGCCCTTGTCAGCCGTGGTCGAAGCCGAGGTCGGTGAAACTCGCACATCGAGTTGCCGTGTTCCGATCGGGTGGTGCGATGTGCTCACAAGGACAACCAGCACTATCGCCCACGTACCAAAGCACGGCGTTAGCCCAGAAAAGAGCTTCGCACTCATGCCCGACGCGAAGCTGCGGCCAATGCCTGTAGGGTTACGATGGGTGGAGGAACGTTGTGGCGCTCCTGTGGGCGATTCGCTCCTCATCGCGGTTGCGCCTTCGTCTGTAGCCCACGCAATCGGACTGGGTGTCCGAGGCGAATTGCCGGCTGGCTTGCAGAACAGCCATAAGCACAAACTATTCAAGGAATGGAAGTGGTACCGATGTGGAGATGAAGGTGCATGCGAATGTGCGTCCACACCGTACTCTTCGGACGTTCCGTGGATCGCGAGCTGGGATCGCCCCCAAATCGTCTACCGACTATAACTGCGAAGGTCGGAAGCTGTACGAGAACAAGCATGGCGGCGATGAGATGTAGATTGCGGAGCTTTACTTTTCAGACAGTCCGTAGCTATGCGTCGACGCTCGGGCCAAACAGCGGGCGCCTCTCCCATTTGAGCCAAGAGGAGGAGGAGGAGGAGGAGGAGGAGGAGGAGGAGGAGGAGGAGGAGCAGCAGGAGCAGGAGGAGGAGCAGGAGCAGGAGGAGGAGGACGACGACGACGAGGAGGAGGAGGACGAGGAGGAGGAGGAGGAGAGGAGGAGAAGGAGGAGGAGAAGGAGGAAGAGGAGGAGGAGGAGGACGACGAAGGGGACACGGGTGATGGTGATGATAAGTGGTGATGGTGATGATGACCATGAGGGTGATGACGAGGCTGCTGAAGAAGCTACTGATGCTGCTGATGACAATGAGGGGGCGACAAGGATAAGGACGAGGAGAAGGAGCGGAGTGGGGGGCGGACGGGCGGTCAGCGAGCGAGCGCGTACGCAGCAGCGGGGCCTGCACCACGGCCGCCCCGCGCCGCTTCGGCTCCTGTGGAAGCCGCGGTGGCCGGGCGGGGAAACGCTGGGTGCCCCCCCCCCTGCGGCTACAGATTCGCCGTACTTTGGCCGATTTTGCAAGTAGGGTTGGAACTGCTGCCCTGCTTGTCGAGTTCCTTCGATGTCGATGTCCGCCCGACCCTGCAAGCACTGTTTCCGCCATACCTCTGCGGAGGTATCCACCGTACTTGTGTGAGGCGGAAATTGCCCGCCCTGCTTTTTTGCCATCGTTTAAAGTGCATGTCCGATGCGGCGGAGAATGCGGCGGACTTGGAGCGACGTCCATCCTCCCCCCCCCCACAGGTCTAATGCCTGGCGGCGCCCATAGGAGAGGTGTCGCGAGGGGGGGGTCGGCCTTCTAAGAGTGCCAAAAAACACCAGTCATGAGACTACGCTCTTAAAGCCGACGAAAAGCACACATTGGTGTCGACGCCACAGGTCTGCCAAAAGACACGCTAGTCATACGATCATTTCCCAAACAACCCCAGAAAAACTGTGGGCACCACCTGACGGTGCAAGCATCGACTGGGGCGCCCGGCCACGAGGCCCACGCCTTCCAGGAAGCTCCTCTGCCTTCCGACAAGGCCGCGCCCCCCGTTGTGCACGTCTCTAGTGTAGGACTTTGATGAAGAGAAGCAAGGGTGGGGGGGGAACGGTGCACAAACTCAGTGTCTTCAGCGGGGGAAGGTCTTGAAGAGGACGGCCAGTGAGTCTTGACAACGACGACCACCACCACCACCACGACGACGACGCCCGCGCGCGGGCGTGACACCCAGTTTCCTCAAGCATCGCCCAAAACGTGGTTGCGTGACGGGCCCCTGGGGTTTTTCCTTTATCGCCATCCTTCGATACTCTACCCCCTTTCATCAATCTTCCTCTTCAAGACAGAGGGGGCCAAGGATCAAGGCCTCTAGAGGCTTTCGGGTCTGTCATCGGCCTTTGGTGGAGGCCTCCACGGGGTCCGGGTCTTCGAAGGCCTCCTGGGGCCGCCTGGAACCTCCTGGTGACCTCCTACAGTAATCTGGGCAACCCAACTTCGCGCATCGCGCCCGACGATGCGCGACACTCGGTTGTTATCTTCGATCTCTTGCGCCGTCCCCCCAGAGAAAAGGGCACTCTCCAGCCCAGGCCGCGGCGCGTGCAACGTAGTTATCTCTGGGAGTCGCCTGCGGCGTGTTCGTGTCGCGACGGCCTGCGCGTTGGTTTCTGACACCGTGTGGATCGTCCAACCTTGAACGATCGGCGCCATTTCGATCGCCAGATCGTTCCGTACGGGCCGCTTCTGCGCAACTAGCGGCGTCCAACTTTGAACGCCCGCGGCGGTGTCGCCGCCGAGTCCACGCGATGCGAACCTAACCGGAGAAGAGCGCACACCCTCCTCGGCAGAGGGGACCGCGCTTCGCAACGCCGCCGCCGCCAGCGCCGCGGCGCTGGCCCAGGGCGCCGCGCGAAGGCAGTAGGGTAGGATAGAATCGAGTAGGGTAAAGCAGAGCAGAATAGAGAAGAGTAGATGAGTAAGGTAGAGCAAAATAGAGTAGAGTAAAGTAGAGCAGAGTAGAGTAGAGTAGAGTAGAGTAGGGTAGAGTACAGCAGTGCAGACAGAGTCAGGTGAGAGTAGGAAAAACAATTGGAGCAAGAACAAGAGCAGGAGATGAGTACAAATAGTAGGAGGAGCAGGAGCCGGTGCCGGAGTCGGAATAGGAGTCGGAGTAGGAGTAGGAGTAGGAGTCAAGCTAGCCAGCTCGAGCGAGTCAAGCATGGCATGCCCAGTCCCACCCGCCCTCCCACAACATAAGAAGCAAAGCTGGCACAACTGGGGGCCGAAGTCACACCGGCCAGCCGGTTTGGTACAGCTGATGCGGCCGCGATGGCGGTTTTTGAATTTGAGTCAGGGCGCGGACAGCTGTGACAGCTGAGCCCTAAGACTCCCAAACGGAGCACAGGGTAGCTAGAGAAGGCACCTCTTATCATCACACTGCCGAGCCACTGAGGCATAGGCATCGGAATAGGATGCAGGAGCAAGGAAAATGATGCAACACAACATGTGAGAATGCAAAGGTGTTGGAACAGGTTAGAGAATGGTGTAAGAGCTGGTTGAAACGCTACCCAAAACGTGTTCCACGGCCATACAATGCCGTTTTACTGCATTGATCAAAGCAACAGCCGATCAGCAGCATATGCTTCCACAGACCGCCCTCCAACGAAGAAACCGTGGAGGCCGACTAGTTCATGTTTACGTTGTATATCACAGGCGAAGCAGAGTGAAAGTTAAAGTTGAAGTCTTGAACAGCGCCAGGCGCCAGTTAAGGCCACAGTTAAGGCCAAAAGGTTACACAAAGGTTCCTAATGTGGCTCTGCAAGCGTTGTTCCATCAACCGTTGAGCACCACTTGAGTAGAATGTCAAGCACCGCCAATGTCCGAAGCACCACCCTGCAATACGGTGCATCCTTATCTTGTCCAACCGACACAGCCCACAGGTTCTCTGGATGTCCGCGTCCTCCCCCCCATCACGGCGCAAAGCCTCACAGAAACGGTGCAGAGCAGCCTGCTTCAAGTAAAAATTTGCCCTCACTCGCTGGGTGGCCATATTATCCCATGCGTGGAAGGCCGCATCCGAATCAGCGTCCTCATCGCACTCTGATTGATAGTTATGCAACTCATCCACCTCCGTCTCCTTGTCGCCTTCGGGCAACAAGGGCACAATTGGGGCGGGTAGAGCGGAAGAAACTGAATCGTGAAAAGAGGACGGAGGTTGGGGAGGATCGCAAGTAGATTGATGGGCCGACTTTGACATAGAAGAGCCAGTTAGAACTGCCTGAGCCTTCGCCCTTGCCCGCCTCCTGTTTCTGCGGTGCCTCTGGCCTTTCCCACGGCCAGCATCCTCCTCAGGACTCGGCGCCTCCTCGGGACTCTCAATTCCCATTCGAAGTTTGTATGCGTTGAGCGCCTCGATCCGAGCCCAAAACTCCTCTTTCGGGAGCCGTTCGAATTCCCGCCAAAGAGCAACTGCATCGTCATTGGCACGCGCCCAGTCCCTGGCAACTTGACACTCAGATCGTTTGCTCTGCAACTCATCTGAACAGAGCCAGGAAGAAGATGCACAGTTATCTTTACGACCCGGCGGTAACCAAGACGGCGTCTGGTTACGGGGACTCGTGGGGCTTCTTCGTGCCTCCTCATCATGCAAATCCTCTTTCCGAACACCTGGGTCAACAGAAGCCGACAGAGTGTCAGGAAATGGAGCGTGGCAAACTTCAGAGCTTGAATCCAAGAAAACAGTATGCTGAGAATAATGCAACTTCTCATTCAGCACCCCCTCACTCTGCAAATCCTCATCCTGCAACTCCTCGTCCTGCAACTCCTCATTCTGAACACCAGGATCAAAAGAAACAGAGCCCAGTCTCGACTGCAGCCCACCATCTGGAGACTGCACTACATCTGGAGAATACGCAACCGAATGAGACGAGAAAGCTTCTCCACGATCAGTTGGCCCAGCAGTTGGCACCGATAAGGAACTCAACAATACACTGACCTGCTCCTCCGAGTTCCCCTGAAACGGGCATGGGTTTCGCGCACAATCATCGAGGTTATCAAACCAGCCAAACGCGGGGAAAGTATTCGGATCAGCCACAAAATATGGATCACGAGCATTAAACTGCATAACATCAAATACAGCTTGTCTACAAATCGCCAGTTTGATTATCCTTGTTTTTCTTGTCCAACTGGTCGAAACAGAACTCATCGAACAAAATTGCGTTGTCATGATGCCGCACAAGGAAGGGGCACGCAAGAACAACTAATCAATTCAATGCCGACAGATCACCCGTTCGGTACTCAGAGATGTACGTTACGTGTGCATGCACAGCGATCGTCGGAACACATGAGCTCGTAGAGCTCCTCGCACCCTCGAGAGTGCTTGAGCCACAATGGCTTGAGCCAAAATGGCTTGAGCCAAAATGGCGGTTGCCGACGGAAACTGGCGAGCGCGTGTTGAATGCCGCGCACGCATTGCCAGACGAGTCGAGAATGGCCCGGTACACCGCAGGAAGCCAGAGGTGGCCGTGTCGAGAACGGCCCGGTAAGCCGGGTCCCATTCCTGCCATGCATTTTGCGACGTGGACGACAGGACGTCCATGCGACGGTGCCAACGACGGCGACGACTCTAGAAGGATTTGAGCATGCGCTCGCGGCGACGCGCGCGCATGTCGCCCGCGTGGTATTTTTTGCACAGGATTCGCGGCCTGGGTGCATGACAGAGCATCGCGAGTGCACCGCGCGATGACGTGAAATCGCTGGATTTGACCGAATTCTTAAGATTCCTATGGTTTTCCTATGATTTCAGCAAGAGAGCCCGGGCAGGAAATGTTTGTTTTTTTGTGAAAAAGCATTGGGTTTTTGATGTTTTTATGTTGAAATGCTTGCAAACACACGGTGTTCGGTAGGATTCTGACATGAACGCGCGCGTGTGCTCTTTGTGGTATTTTTTGCATTGGATTATCGCCGTGGACGACAGGACGTCCATGTCGAGAGGAAAAAAATAAGAAACATGTTGATTTTGTATTGTTTTTTACAGGTTAGGATGGGACCACCCGGATGGGGCCCCTATCTGCCGGCCTGAGGGGGGAGTAGGAGTATATTCTAATAAGGAATAAGGATATAGTAGAGTAGGCTAGGACAGAGTAGGTCGAGTAGGGTGGAGCAGAGCAAAGCGGGGTATATGATCGAATCGAGCAGAGCAGAGGATAGTTTTTCAGAGTAGAGTAGTGTAGAATAGAGTAGCGGGGAGATGGGTAGAGTCGAGTAAAGTGGAGTAGAGTAGGATACAATAGAGAAGGCCAGAGAAGGGAACAATACAGCAGAGTAGAGTAGGATAGAGTAGAGTAGAGTAGAGTCGAGCAGACAGAGTGGAGTGAGAGTAGTGTAGAGTAGAGTAGAGTAGAATAGAGTAGAGTAGAGTAGAGTATAAAATAATAAAGTAGAGTAGGGTGGAGTAGAGTAAAGTCGAGTCGATTCGAGTAGAGAAACCAGAATAGAGCGGAGTAGAGAAGAGTATAATAAATTAGAGTAGAGTATAATATATTACTAGAGTATAGTAGAGCAGAGTAGAGTGAATAGAGTAGAGTAGAGAAGAGTAGCGTAGAGTAGAGCAGAGCAGGAGTAGAGTAGAGTAGTGTAGATCAGAGTAGGGTAGAGTAGAGTAGAGAAGAATCGGTATAATTGAGTAGTGTAATAGCGTGGAGTCCACCCCAGTCCAGTCCAGTCTAATCTAGTTCATTCCAATCTACGTATCTCCGACTGCTTCCCCGAGGATAGTTTCGTCCGGGATCCACTTTTTCTGGCCCCGAGGCCCGATTACGGCCCCCCAGGGCCGACATCGACGAGCAACCCACCAATTGAAAAAATCATACCGCCGGGGTTTTGAGAAGGCCCAAGCGTACCCCCAGGACGACGTACCCTCAGTGAGGTGTCGCAGCGGCCACGGCTCCAGCCACGGTAGGCGCCAAAGCACAGCCGCTGGGCATCCCGAGGTGGGCCCTGAGGCACCTTCTCCAGGGCACGTCTGTTCTACGGTACCACGGGTTCGTGCCGTGTCGACCACGGCGCTGGTTCCCGACACCGCGGGGATGGTTCAACCTTGAATAATCGGCAGCTTCCGAAACATCCGATCGTTCAACGTCGACCGATTCTGGGTCGCTGGCGGCGTTCAGCGTTGAACTCCCGCGGCGGGGTCGCCGCCGGTCGACACGACGCAAACCTACCGTACGCTTGGCCTCCCCCGTGTCTGCCTCCCGCCGATCCTAGAAGAAAAAACGCCACGCGCGGATTTCTCGGATCGAATCTGCGCCGGACCCCCCTCCCTGGCGCGCGGAGCGCGCCAGGGGCGGCGCCAGAGGCGCCGCCTTTGGGGGCCCAGCGCGGATCCAAGAAATCCGCGCGGAGCGCCAAAAGTTTATGCTCATGGCGTTCTTTCTTCTTCGAGTGTCTGCCTCCCGCCGATCCGCCGCAGCGGGCGCGCCGCGTCGCCGCCCGCCGCCGCCGGACGACGGCGGCCCGTCCTCTCGCGGGGCTGCCAGCGGCTCCAGGGGCGACGGGCGCGCCGAGGGCGCCGCCGCGCGGCCGCGCCGTGCGCCTTCGCCTCGCGGCCGCGCCGCTCCTCGCCCTGGCCGCCCGTGCTCGCCCCTCGCAATGCGCTCCTCGCCCTTCGCCCTCGCTCTCGCCGCCCCTCGCCCTTCGCCATTGCCCCTCGCCCCTCGCACTCCGCACTCCTCCCCCTGCTCCTCCCCGTCCTCCTCCTCCTCCTCCTCCTCCTCCTC